AAGTGTCGCGGTGCTACGGGTCAGTGTAAACGGCAAACACCAAATGTGACCAAGATATAACGGAAATCCGTTTTATCGACCCGCCGACAAACTACCCGGCATGAGATTTCCTTTTGTTGCATACGGAACGCTGTCGAGATTGAGAAATGAACAATGTGTTACGAGTGTGAGAAAGTCCCTTTCCTCGGTGTACGGGTTGTTGTTTTCTCATCAGTACACTAAAGGGTAAAATGTTGAACGCATGACGACTCATAAATGAGGATGAATTATTCCGCATCTTCAAACGTATTTTCCCCCGATGAGTATGTTTTGGACAATACCAAATTATTGTATATTATACACTCTGTACATAATAAGGATAATTATTTTTTATGTGATAAATTACAAAAAAAATATAGTTTCCATGGAAAGACTGAAATACAGGCATATGCGTAATTTTTACCATTTCACTTTCGCCCTTTTTCGAATAATCAAACTTTGAATGGCAATTTGAGATCTGACACGCGATAGATATATTGTTAGATGAGTGGAAACAAAAATTGTAAGGAGAATAGATGCGTCAAATGCCATGTGTAAAGTTATGCCAAATATATCAGTAGTTGGATAGTACGAACGAATTTATTCTATCTGTGTATCAAACGGCACTGGCTAATAGACTGTACGTCATATAGATTGGTTACCAGGATATCCTTAAATAGTAATGTCAATGTGAAAGTACATTGGGTTGGCAGAATAAGGGCGGTTGTTTAGATTGTCCACACCGCCTGTCCGCTCGCAAGGTTGGTATTTATATTCTGGATATATGGCAATTTGTTGAAATGTTTTGTCAATATTATGATTCGTGTCATTATATATAGTCGTTATTCACGATATTTACTTCGGCCACTTGCCCAAAACACTACAGTTTCGGAAAGTATATAACTACAGGAAACTTCTCGTGAATAACTTTTCGTAACGTTAAATCGTGAAGGATCAACGGGGCCAGGCTTGTTACGGTGAGAAACAATAACTGAATACATTTTGCTTTGGTAAGAGAATCACGATACATAACCAGAACAAACATCATTCTCAAAACTGAGCAAACTGATATAAAAGGGCACTTGTCCTCAACGTCATTTTGCGATCACAAAGCTCAACTTTATTTTTTCTTTCAGTCTCAATCCGAAGCCAATGCAGCGAACAACTGAGGCTGGGCGAGCAACCATCATTTGAGCATGAGAATACATATTTACACAGATAAATATTTTCCGGAGAATATATAATCCTGATTTTTCTGTAAAGGAACACCTTTTCCCATAGTGCATCCTTAAATGTGCCAATAAATGTAATGTGTGCTTGACATTTTCGGCAAAGAGACATAAAAATCTCTTTACGTCATCGACTTCCTGGCTTCTCCAAACATGTTATAAATTACATAAACATAAATACTATTATTCACCTTTTAATAACTACAGCAGAGCTGACGTAGATCTGACTACTAAGAGCCCCAACCCAGGAAAATATACGCATATATTAAAGAAATGTAAATATTTTGCTTGCAATAATGAACAAAAATATTTTTCTAACATTCAGGACAGTTTACAGATCTGTTTTATAAAGTAGAGAAATGATTGCTTTCCGCCAATTTTCAGGAAAAGTGTTAGAATCTGTTAGATGCAACATTTAGATATGGTACTAAATATATATATTTTACTAAATCCAAGTAACAAACCCATCTGGCCGACCAATCAGCTGTTTCAATGCATTTGTTTGGCTTGAGTAATCCCCAGATTTTATATGAAATCATTTAAAATAATCTAATTTATTTCTCAGTGTCAGGTACAATGTCAGCTGCATTGAGAAAACTAGACAACTCATCTGAAGTGGAACTAAACTAGTTAAATAATGTTTTATGAAATTTATATTGATACCTACAAACATAACGTCTCTAACTATGCCCCAAAGTTATTTTGAATCACCAGCCGCCAAACTAAATGTTATTTTCTCCTCGTTAAAATCAAATATGCATGTTTTTTCATTACATACTCGTTTAGATTGAACCTTTGTGTTCATGTATATATTCAACAATTTGATATGGCAATCATTTGGGATTTTTTTTACTTTTTTACTTTTTGACATTCCTTGTGGGCAGCCGTGGTCATTAAGAAATTTTAATTGTTACATTTTTGGCAGCAAAACAGAAATTAACTTGACAACAAATGTAAACACATTAACATTACGGTCAGTTCAGGCTAATTTGAAAACATTGTTATATATATTATTGAATGCAAGTTTGACTCCAGAGAATGTTGGCGATCTGATTATAATAAGCAAAGTCCAACCAAAAATTCTGACGTTTTTTTTTTTCGGGGGGGGGGGATTAAATAAGAAGACACAATATAATCCACTACACTGGCGTCTGCATTAGCAAAGCAAGTACATACACCGAGATCGGCATCTACATCAACTTTCACATTTGCAATAATCCGAGTGCTGTAAAACGAGAGAAGTGTGCGACAAAAACTATTTAAATTGTAATCTTTTGAAACATGTCAAATCAAACTTATGTATATCAAGCACACATACTGCATCATTTATGTATATCAAGCACACATACTGCATCATTTATGTATATCAAGCACACATACTGCATCATTTATGTATATCAAGCACACATACTGCATCATTTATGTATATCAAGCACACATACTGCATCATTTATGTATATCAAGCACACATACTGCATCATTTATGTATATCAAGCACACATACTGCATCACTTATGTATATCAAGCACACATACTGCATCATTTATGTACATCACCAATAATGTAATCAGGAGCACTTGTGCATTTAATTTACCCATGGTAATTATATAAACGTTAGCTAAATAATTTTAAATACGATACATATCAATATTAATATATGCCATATACATCAAGAAAAATGTGTGGTATAAGGAACACATCTCTCAAATATACAACTTGATACTGTAGAACACGTTGAAATATAGCTGCATGGATTTGACCTTTGGCATGAATTAACAGAATCTTAATTTAGCTAAAGTGTCGACTATCTCCCTGTCAGAATAAGCTTTCTGTTAAAATATCTACATCTTGAATTAGCGAAATTACAGATTTGCTAAATTAGCTAAAATAACATGCTAGCGAAAAAGACATGTTTTACAGTATACATGTTGATCATTTTTCAATGAAACTTCAGACTCTTGTCTCTACACTTGTGTCATGGACCCGTAATAATGAAAGTATAACAACGTATAATCGATAGATTGCCACGTGGTGTTCGAGAAATGCTTTCTCGTGATCGCCGTTATCATCAAATCATCAGCACATTAGCAGCATTCAAACCAATATACGCATGCGCACTGAGACTTGCTTGTTTTCACGACAGTGGGCACACTAACACGTAGGCGTACGTCGTTTACACCGTACAAGGTTATCGACAGGAGTACCAATGTAGCGGTGATATCACTAACCAGAAAATGATAGTCAGAACACGATATCTTCAAATGACGATTCATAGAATCCTTGCAGACAAAAAGTCGTAACATCAGACCCCCAGAGACTGAGTGAATCTAGAGGTAACAGGGAATATTTGTTCAATGTCCACGTTGTCAAAATCGTTCAAAATATAATGATATTATAGTGATATTTCAATACAGGGACAGCCTTTCATCACTTACGTTAAGTGGATATTTAAACGGTATTCCCATAGAAAAGGTGTATCTATATACAATTACAAGTTAAGTGAATGCCGGCTATTTTAACCGCATCGGCAATCTAATGTCGAAATAGACATTACACGAAGTTGAACCAATTGAAGTTTTAAAATAGAATTGAGAGTATCTGGTAACCATATAATCACTTTATACGGCTTTTCAAACTCCAGAACTCCGTTCTCGCATCGACCCGCTGCGTGTGAGCCGGGGTGACAAAACTATGCAGATACCGTGATACCACGAGAGGCGTTCAGTTGGCTTATCGCCACGAACAATTAACCAAGTACATTGGCAAATAAATCGCTTTTCTCTCTTCGCGGTAAAACGCCCACTTTCCATCGCACGTACAAATCTCGACAGTGAATGAAATTACAAGATCTTCAACGGTATGAAATTCTAGAAACCTGAGTTACGCCGCGCCGCTCTGAAATAGAATACCAAGGTGGTGGCAATCGCAGTGAGACTACAAAGAGATAAAAACCTGTGTGCTTATCGTGTTGGTAGTTATACTTAAAGCAGGCGCGTTCACCATTCCGGTGCAAAGGCTAATCCATTGACATATATGCACGATAAATGATGGTACTTGTGTTACAGGAGAGTTAACGGGTAGATGCTGGTGCACCGCAGTTTAAAACGGCATTACTATAAGCCTAATTCTATAGCAAACTTACTTACTGGATTAAAATTACAATGGTAATCAAATCACGGATTACTTAAATAAACAGCGTAAATAATGGCATGATCCCTGGGACTGGCAACTTTCCCTTTAAGTTTAAGTTCACTGGTGAACTGTAAGAATACATTCTGAAATGGATGTCACAACATCTATCACTTGACTTAACAATAAAGCGAATGTTTTGTGCCAGTCAACTAAAAATTAGGATTGATTAATTAATTGTTAATTATCGGCTATTCACTGCTGATTTGAACTGTGCCAATTATGGCTAATGACCACAATAAAAGTCAGTTCAATTGCTAAGCTAATTTACTATTCATAAACTTAGACTAAAACTTCATAAACTTATATCATTAGAAATATTTCTAGCAATTGAATAAATCAAACAGTGATATGTGATACATTATATTAATGCGTCACATTTCTTCAAAATAGTATATACCATAAAATTAGCACTTAGCATTATACGAATGATAATCGAGGAAGCAATATATAATTTTGGTTATTAATATTAAATTTAGTACATTTTGAACTGTTTCGCATCTAAATTAGTCCAATTCCATGTACACCCGTCGGTGTACACTTCTTAAGTGAAACATAACCTACCGGTAACGTTGCCTGTTAGCGGTGGAAATACCGCTCCGTCGTAGTCGTAGTGTCTGGTCTGTGGCGAATACGTATATCGGCGTCCGTTTGGCGAGTTACGGTACTTTCGTACAAGAAACGCTCTCGGCATGGTAGTAGCAGTGTGGTGCACGAAGTGTGTTTAAAAATATATAATACTGAAGGTTTAAAAAGCTAAAAAGAGATTTCGGGTAACGGACCAGAAGAGAGCGTTGAGTAACGATATCTCACTGCTCGAGTTACCAGCTAAGGTATACGCAGTCCGTCTGCGATGTAAATAAGCCTCCAGCGAGTTGTGAGTAAACATATTGAAAGTCAGTCAGCGTAACAGAGACCCTTGTCCAATGTATGACTACGCATGCACGTTTGAAAATGTAAAACTAACGGTCCACAAGGGTGACTTGTGGTCACTGCGTATCAGTAAAACCATCTGAGTGGGCTCTACGCGGGGGCCCGACTAGATAAACAGCTGTTGAAAGAGTGACTTGAAGCGAAAATATCGAGCACTTAGACAAAAACGTGAGAGATTTCACAAGGGATTGGTTAGTTTACTTAGTACATTTTCTGTAAGGTAAGGTATTTTTGTCATATTTACCGTGACGTATGACGTGACGACCAAAAATCAATAAATCACCGTCAACTCAATAGTTAGCGGGCGGCAATGTTATTTTCAGGGGGCAGATAAACAGGAAGATGGTGTATTGGTGCCGAAATGTCTGCGACATGAGATCGGTTCGTATTCCTCGTTCACATATTACACTATGGTGTGGACTATACATTTTACTAAGATTGCAGTAATATAATATGACATAATAGAGATAATATTATAAAGTATACTAATAATGAACAATGACAAAATCGTACTCAAATTATGTATCTATCACACCAATACATGGGAGTAAAAAACGGAAAACAAGTTTTCTTTGTTTGTTTATTTGTCCGTATGATGATGGGAATCTTGAACCGAATTCAAAAGTGTCTACCCGTTGGTGGCGTAATCGGCCAGAGAAGCACGCCCTCGAGAACCCTATAGACGGTCTTCTCGTCTATTAAGGGCAACTGATACACGAAATGTTTGACAGTATTTTTCAACATATGCCCCTCCCCCTGCACACCTCGACCTTCACACTTGGTTGGTTGGTTGGCATCAATCCCCGACACGGGTCCTGACAGTATTGACACTAGATTTGTAAATGTTTGTACCAAACGGTCATATCGCCACGAACTCAGTAATTGTAAAGCCAAGCCCGGACACAACCAAAATGCACACACACTCCGCGCAGCCATATGTAATAGATATTATCTGAAACAAGACAATAAGAGGTTACGTTCCACGGTGGCGTGGGATACCATTGAAATAGAAAGTTAATTGCATGGCTATTCGTCCTGAGGACGGAAACGTTCAGTAACGCTACATGATTGTCATTTTATGACCATCCGGCATTCACAATGTTGTACAGGATACATTCCGGTCAGTGCGATAAATACCGCTACAAATAAGATGTCTAATGGGAGGCGACCCTACTTTATCTTGTTTAAAAGCGTTTGCTCAATTGGAATGTTGCATACAGAGGATGGGATAGTAGATATTCCGCCCCACGTCTAAACGGATAAGGGCCTCAATAGATGTGTAAGAAATTGGTTTCCATAGAGATAGTTTCGAATGCAATTTTGCCACGGGCATTGTGATTCATCGCTGGAATACTGCAAGTTGAAAGAAGAGTGCACTATAGATGACCCATCGCTTCTGAACTTTATTCGACATAGATGTCTACTTGTCGTTGTGAAGAAAATGAAAATCTAACCACTCTCACAAAATAATTTTCCATATAGCAGCATTGGAAATTCATAGAAATGAAGTAGTTGAATGTTTATCGGAAACAGGCTATACAGAATTATTGAATCGAATACACATGGTAAATAGCCTACATCACGTGCCCGAGGTAAGGCACAGTTCACACAGTGTGACATGTACGCATTATGACATGGTTAGTATGGATTATATATATGCGATTAAGGATGATGATGCCCGAATTTCGTGACGTCACTAATACT